ATGGCTTTTGGGAAGGGGTAACTAGTCTCTAAGGTGTGATCTTCCGAGGCTCCTGGATCCTGTCAAGGTAAGGAACCTCTCGGATCATGAAGCTCTTGGCGTGAGAGTCTTCAAGCATTAAGCTTTCAACACCTTAGAAGAGATAGCCTTTAAAACGTTTAGAAAACAAACCAAGATCGAACCTTTTCTACCCCTTAATCCTCTCAACCCTGAAGCCAAAGTAAACTACTCGCTACACATAGAGTAAATCAAGCAAAGCAGAAGAAACGAGATGATAAACATGAAAGAAAAACTGGATTAAACGATAAAGATTCGAATACAAAAGCTTCAAAGAAAAACGAGTTCAACAATGGTGTTCTTCGTAAAACGAGAGAGAAAACATGAAAGAAAGGATAAGGATCTAAAAGTTCTTGAAAAAGCATCTCGCCGCCTTGCCTAAAATACCCAAACAAGCCAATGGTCCCCCCTTCGCTAACAGCCAAAAACGGTTGAAAGGACAGAAATCGACCACTGGATCGAGTGGTTCTCTCGATCATATTCGGACATCGTGTCTTCGGCTCGATCTGGGTCTCGATCTTCATCGGCGAATCGAGTGTTGCATCCAATCTCGGTATCGATCTTCGGGTGGATCGAGTGGTGTACTCGATCTGGCTCTCGCTCTGCATGGCGTCATTTACGTCCGTACCGATTGATCGATTGCTTCACTCGATCTCCGTCTCGATCATTCTCCTTGGATGCCTAGTTGGCTCGATCTTCTGGTCGATCAACTCCTAGATCGACCGGCCATGCTCGATCTGCTCCTCGATCACTGGTCCTTAGCATATTTCTGAGCTCCCACGAACTGCTACATCAGCCTCCACACGCCCACGAACCTCCATGACTCCAAAGCAGCCATAAACAACCTGAATGTGATGCAAAATGCAAGGAAAATGCATATGCTGATGCAAGAATGCTCTAGGACCCTAAGTGATGCAATCTAACCTAAAACATGATACAAATGCATGAAAAACTAACTAATGAGTATGCAAAATGTATGTAATATGCAATAACATCAAATATGAGCTCAAATTTGAATGAGGCTCATAGAGCGATCGGTGGTAGAATTTGGAGCAGCCATTTTGTTAAAATAGAAACAAGATTTAAAGAGAAACAGAGATATCAGAAAGATCACGGAGAAGAGAGAGAGAATAGAAGAAGAAGAGAAGAAAACGGCAACAATGAAAAAGTAAAAAGTTCTGATACCGTATTTAATTAGGTAATTCCAATCGATCGATTAGTATGTACCACGAACAAAAATTATATATATTCATAAGTTTAGAGACTATTCAATAGGTTTCTAAATTATACGAAAGAATATATAATTTCTTATTTTATTAATTCAGTATTTCTCATTTAGGGTTTACATCTTTTCTTTATAATTTTTTTATTATTGCAATACTTTATATTTGGATTGTTTTTTATTTTATTTTTCATTTTGGATTCATTATCTCATATTTTCTATTTTTATATAAGATTTAGTTTTCTACGTTATTTGTTTTGTATGTTAATAAATAAGTTGATGACTTTACCTAACCCTATCGAATAGTTGATCGGTAGTTTCTTGGTTTACATGTTGCTAGATAACTTGTAATCATGTCATTAACATTCTGCGTAAACGTGTTGTGTAGACATTGTGTAACATCGGCAGTTTCGTGATCATATCATGGAAAGACCTCGCCATTAGCATTGTTTATGGTCATAAAAATTTGAGTTTTACTTTAAATTGTTATTAATGTTCTTTAATAATATCATGAATCAATATCGTTCCGTTACTATTTGTGTAAATCATAATCCGTTTCCATAAGTCCAGTTAGAATGGTAACGTGTTTATCATCTTAGATTAGCACTATTGTAATATATGTAAACTCTGGTAGCGTTTGTCTCAATATATTACTAATAATTTAAGTTAGCTTACCGAGAAACAATCATCTCATGTGCATATGTCAAAGAATAACACTATTCTGGACAATATTACGGATGCATATCAACTCGGTCAATAGAACTACTTATGCAAGCCACTCTTTTTGCAAATGGCCCTTAATTCTACGATAACTGCTGGTTTATGGAGGTGTCAACTACGATTGATATATCTAAGATCGGTACCTTGAGAAAGTACCCTAGAGAGTACCCTAGAGAGTATGTGTCCAGACTGAGAAAGTAAACATGTGTCCAGACTACTTGTTTAGCGAAGGTACCTTAGAGAGTATCCGAAAAATCTTTTAGCCCAATGCAGCGCAGGTTAAACATAGTATGCTAGTTTGCTTTCACAACCCCTATTTATTCATAAAGACGAGCAAAATATTTGTTACGTTCGTCTTTTACCATTTCTGATCTTGAATTATCGTCTCATATATACAGTAAGCCCTCGGTTAAGAAGAACAAACTAATAAGATAAATAAGTATTTTATGTTTTTTTCCAATAAAATTTAAAACAAGATATAATCACTTACTAATCTATAAAAAGGATTAATTCACATTTATAATTAATTTAATACTAAAAACATGCGATCACCAACTTATACCATGTTAATATTAGTGTAGTAAAATTAAGTGATGAGTCCAACATGGGATCTCCCTGACATCAAGCACCTCTCCTTCCGTTCATATGAAAGAATGATAATCAATTAGTTGATTCTCTAGCAAAGAATTCACTTACGGATTTTCCACTTGTTTTAGACTAAGCCCATTGAGCCTTTTCTTTTGAATGAATTACTTGAAAAACAAAAACAAAAAGACTTTCGTGGTTCTTCGAAAATTGTGGATATTAAAAAGTTTTCGGAGAACATTGGAAAAATGGTAAAGTGTGGTACGAGGTTAACGTCGTTCTCAAAGCCAGCTCATTTTTTATCGTGCTTAGGATAAGACAGAAATGCATTGCTCATTGTAATTAATCTAATGTATGCAGCGCCTAAAACATCTTTACGCTTCAACAAAAAACTGCAACATGTTTATTTGTATTTGTTTTTTCTCTCTAGTAGTGTAATGTTGTTCTTAGTTATTGATATATATATATATATATATATATATGAAAAATGAAGATGCATGAAAGGTACGGTTTTTACTAGATATTATTGGTATTCATTATTAATATGAAGAAACTAAGTTCGATCCTAAATAAGGATTCAGTAAATGCTAGGAACAAACATTTCAAAACAACTTTGCCGCCCATATCCTAACATCCAATCCAATACATATTATGTGAGAAGTAACATTATTGAAAATAGCTTACTTGTCAACACTACAACTAAAGTTAGTGTTTTTAATTGATGACATGTAAATGTGACATGTCAAACTTCTTAAAATAAACGAAATATTTTGATTGGTTGAATTAAAATTATAGTTATGGAATTAAAATATAAATAAACTAGATTATATTTGTAACACTAAAATTAACAAATTTAAATTAACAGAAAATAAAAGTTATTATAATTATAATTTTTTACATATATTCATAATTTCATAAAATATAATTATGAATTTTTTAATAATATATATATATATATTATAATTTCACATAAAAACAAAAAAAAATAATACTAAATGATCTAATAGAATAGTAAAAATTATATTTATTAATAATACTTGAAGTATGATATATTTTTATATTGGAAAGTTATTAATTTACAAAATATATTAATAACATCTAAACAAGTTCTAAATAAAAAAATTATTAAATAATACAATTTTAAATAAAATACAATCATGATAAAAATAATTTAAAGAATAAAATATTAAAATAATAAAATAATTAACTTTTATTGAAATGGTTTTAAAAAACATAATTTTGAATAATTTTATTTTCAAACCGATATTTACTAATTGAATAAAGTATATACTAATTATTATTTTATAATATTAATAGGACCATATATTTTTCTATAACTTTTATCATCTTTTTATTGTTGTTTTCTAAAATGTACATAACTTATGTTACCCTCTCATCTTATCTCTTATCATATTTTAAATAAAAATAATAGCATATGCATATATATATATATATATAAAAAAAAAATTTATTTTCATTGTATATGAAAAATTTGAGATGGTAAATGAAATAAAAAATAACCGAACAAAAAATAAAATATAATAAGATGAAACAATATGAATCATAAATAAAAAATAAAAGTATATAAAAATAAATCTCTCGCACTTTGTTTTACAAAGTTACTTAAAAACTTTTTAAGACGTAAGAGCCATATTTTTTTTTTTTTACAAATATGCGTAGATACATATATATTAATTGTACATTAGTTGAAGTCACATGCGAACTTTTCCGTGCATGTATTTTGTTAAGATTGATTACAGTCTAATTTTTATTTTAATTATTATATAATTTATATTTTTAAAACTTTTTTATCTATTCTAAGTGTAGTAAAGTGGTTGGTATACTCGCACATCCGTGCCAATTATCTATCCGATCTTAGAAATAAGTAAAAATGGTAAAAACTATTTCAGTTTAATTTGCAATAAATCAAGAAAATTATATACTTAAATATATTATATGTATTTGAAAATTCATATTATGTAAGATGCAAAAAAGCATATCGTAGATTGTGTAAGGAGAAATAAAGCATATTATAGAAATATTTTAAAAAATATTATAAGAATTTTTAATTATTATTTAACATAACTTTTATATTTGTGATTATATATTATTATAAGCATTATAAAAATAAAAAGTTTTAAAATACATTGATTTCAGAAAGAAGTTTGTAAAATTTAAAACAATATATATACAAACATACCAATATTTTAAAAAAAACTAATCAAAAATTAAATATTACAATTAACTATATATATCAAAAAAATTATACCCGCACATATGTGCAGGCCAACCACCTAGTTGTCGTGATACTACCATCTTCAAGTTTGAACACCTTAATCTCATCCTCATGATAATCCTCCTCGGAGAAGTAAATGGAGTTCTTTAAGCATCCCCTGAACTCATGAGCCAAAACCGAGAAACAAGTATCGGTAGCAATCACAATCGCATTGTCTCCCAAGGACTTAACTTCTACCCATTTCAACGATTCCTCATCCACCTTGTAAACCTTGAAACCAAACGTTTTGGGACAGAACCTTCTTTCCGATAACCCTCGCCTGGAGATCCCGACATCATCGTATATTGCAGAGATTTTGTTAGGATCAGATGTTCCATAAAAGGAACGAACTGTCCCAGAATTTTTAAAGATGCGATCAACAATGTAAAACTCTTCGCAACATTCCACTAAGCTTCTGACATTCAAACAACGTATAGTGATGTCCTCATCCAGTAAAGGTCCATACCTGAAGATATCTAGAGATGAAGAAATCCACCAAACAATCCCCTTGGAATCTAAGGCGTACGTTAGCCCTTTGCTGTCAACTATAACATCACAGAACTGAGCCACCTGGTCTTTGACTCTGGTCCACATTTCTCCATTCCAATACCTGAGTTTCCAGTCGCACCCGACTCCGATGATTTGTTGGTCTCCATTAAGTACCAATCTTCTGAACCCTACAGTCTCTTTTTCCACACTCCGGTTTTCAACCATATAAGCTTGTTGAATCTCGGAGACTTTGAATCTGGAAAGGTTGAAGCTTTTGCGAGGACGGAGGTGCAACGGGATGCGCGAGAGAGGGTTTATGAGATTAAATGTACCGTATCTGAGTCCCACTGCGTCGTATTTGATCAGCCACCCTGTGCTCGAGGAGGAGGAGGAGTGGGCGACACGAAAGAAAGAGAGGCGTGAGAGAAACGCACCGCGGTCGAGACTGACGACGAGGGGATTGAGTTCGATGAGAGGGCGGCTTGGGAGACGATTGTTGCCGGTGAATTGGTTAGAGTCATTTCTGGTCACTTCCATGAACTTATTGGCAAGATGTCTCTTAGTTCAATCTTTTCGCCATCTTGAGGGGGGATATTAGAGTAATTGAGATTGTTGGTTTAGATGAATTGGTTAGAGTCATTTCCGGTTTATCCTAGTTAACCACTTTTCAGTAAGATGAATGAATGAGATAAGATTATTCTGTTTCAACAAACTCTCTCTTCGTTCTTCTAATAGGCGACTACGGAGACGGAGGAGCGCCATGATGTGCAGATGCTGCGGAAACGGAGGAATTCCACGACGGAGAACAAACGGAAGGCGATTATGTAACGACCCGGTTTTACAAACCAAGCCCGTTTGGAAAATTCAATCCCGACTAAGACGGTTTAAGCCCATTTCCTATTTCTCGATATTTCCTTTTTCCTTCGAGAGATAATTAATTCTTGGTTTAGATAAATATTATATTTTTAATGTGATATTAATGAACCTTTTTCTAAATGAATTGTGAATATTTTTATTCATAATTATTTTTTCCTTTTTCGTGGTTATCTTTACTTTTTACCCAAGTCTCCCATTGGGTATAAATAGAGAGCCCTTCCCATTATTTTTCTTCATTCTAAACCTTCCAGAGAACAGAGAAACCCTAGAACTCTCTTCTCTCTCTTTTCTCGCACCATAGTACTCTCTCTCCACCGTCTCTCTCTCCTCTTTCTTTCTCTCTCATCGCTGCATCCTCTCTCTCTTCACCATGTCCCGCCGTTCATCTTCCCCGCCTTCTGGTGACCGCCCTAGCCGCTCCCCGGAGCAGCCATCATCGTCTGCCGGCGCGGTGGAGCAGCCGCGAGTCCACTACCTTCGGGATGGACCTGTAGCCGCCCCTTCCAGCCGCCCTGCCCCGGTGTTTCACGTTGATGAGGAGCCGGGGTCCTCCCGGAGCCATACGCCGCCGCAGCATCACCCCCGGAGATCGATCAACCCTGCGTGGTTAGCCGCCGTGGAGCATCTCGCCTCCTTCTCTTCTCTTTACCTCCCCTTGCCACCTCCTTCGCCACCTAGGCCAAGGTGAGGATGAATATGTGCTTGAATATCGTGAACTCTGCTTTCCTGAATGCATAGTTTGGGGTTAAACCAAGCTAACCTACTTTCTGCTTTAGAACTGAGTCTCAGCTAGGTCATATTAGGTTGTTGATTGCTCTGTGAATCACCTAGATGTGTTTAGGGTATTGAAATTGAAGTTGTAGGAGACTTAAAAGAAACATTTACTTGTGCTTGAAACACTCTGCTTGTTTGATTGCTGTTTGGATCTCTTCTGTGATTGTGTGATCGCCTAGAACTTGAAAAGAGGATAGGAACTTAATACGGTATTGTGTGAAATCATAATTGAGACTATGTGTTGTGAAATGTCTGAGATGAGAGTTGAGATCATAAGGCAAAGGAGCCGTGGTCGATATACTTGAGTGGAGGACTATTGTTTGGGGTCCGAGATGGATGGTTGAGATTTGCAATGCCTGGGGCTGCAATCGATACACTGAAGTTGAGGATAGTCGCTAAGCCACATGGGCAATATGCGAGGGGGTACTGAGGGACCTGACATCACATGGGGCTGTTCATAAGGGTTCAGCGTATACTCATGTGGTATGGAAGTAATGGCTATACGTAGCGCTCTCAAGGCATGGCCGACGGGCTAGTCGTGTAGCGACTATAAATTTACGGAGGATGCAACCCAAGTGTCACGGTGTAAGTCATCATTGTGTGGTCCGGGTATTCGCAGTGGCGTTACCTGTGACACTAGGATATTGTGTGAAGTCTTTAGGACTTTCTATGGTGCTGTTTTAGGCTTGAACTTAGCGTTGTTAAGTTGTGGTGCATTGATAGGATAGTGTAGGTTCATTCTCCTGGATAATCTAAATTACTCACCCCTCCAAGTTTCCCTATTTTCTCTCTCTCTCGACCCCCTCTAGCAGGTTAGGTGAGTCAGGATGCTCAGTATCGCATATGGATGCGGAGTTGTTTGTTAAGCAAGGCGCCTTCGGTTTCTGGGACTTGTAAAGTGGATAATGCGTTTAACTTATGGTGCAGACGGTTATCTTGACATTGCCGGTTTGGTTTTATTGACCGAGATCAGGTATCTGTGCAAAACCAGCATGAAAACACAAGGCTCTTAAAGACCAAACAAACAACCTAAACGCAATATAATCATCTAAGCGATTGTTCCTAGTAAAGTTCTTTCAGGCATTTCAACAAACACTTGTGATGCAGCAAACACCTATAATCAGTTTCACCCTAAACGAGTTAATAAGCACTAAGAACAACTAAGCTAAGTGATCTAAGCATTAATCAAACCAAAACACCCTAAGCTATCAACCAATCATCCCCAAATCTGCTCCAACCTCAAACCATATGAAACTACTCACAACACATAGCAAAATCAACAGAAATAAGCAGAGATGATAGATCAAACATGATTAAACAAAAACTAGAAGGACAATAACAAAGGAAGTGCAAAACTTTATTGAAAAGGTGATCTAGATCAAAATCCCATAAAAATCTCTTTGTGATTTCCCACAAGGTCGAAGATAGGGTAAAGAAGAAGATCAGATAACAAAAAGATAAGCCAAAAGCTTAAAAAAGTGAAAGGATAAGGTTTGGTCAAAAGTGGAAAAAGTTGGTCAACTCTCGGATAAAGCATATCGTGGTGCATGGGAAGGTGTTCTGCTCGATATGGCCACCTCGATATCGAGCTGGGTTCTTGGTGTTCTTCTCGATGCAGGACCTCGATATGCCCTGTCTCTTCGTATCGGCTTGTACGACATGCTTAGCTCGGTGCACTACCTCGGTACAGCAGGCTGGTGAACACTGTCTAGTTAAATCGCTCTATCTCTTTACCCCCAGGTCCAAATGATATGATTCGACCACCATTGGAAAGCTACTCAGATCCTATAAAACTTTCATGAAGAACGTCAAGCCTGAATATGAGTGGAGAGGCTTCGTCCGGACCGATATTTAACTCGCATCCTGTTGAACCGAGCAAAGACCTCGATGTGTGACCTCGGTGCAGCTTCTAAACAGCTTGGCTCCATTCTTCTTGCATATTTCTTTGACTCCAGATGATACTTCATCTTCCAATAAGTCTCCTTAGCCCCAAAACACATGAAATACACCTTAAACATGCAAATGTATGCATTCCTAATCTAAATGCATGCATGGCAACTTTTATATATAAATGGGACTAAAATGATAAGAATTAATGCAAGAACAAGGGAAAATATGCATGAAATGCAGCCTAAAATGATCTAAAATATCAAGCTATCAGCACCCCCACACTTAGTCTTTGCTTGCCCTCAAGCAAATGAAAGATTAAACATGGTGATGAGGATTTAAAATGAGAACTCATATCATTAAAATGCTAACAATATATCAAAATGATGTCCATGTTTCTTGTGCTAGAATGCAGATGATGGAACTGTACTCTAAAACTTAGCCACACTTATCACAAAATGAAAATGATTTCTAAGTTATCAATCTATACAAGCCCTCAAATCACTTGACCTTTTTAACATTCATTAAACAAGTAACCAATGGATCAAGTTTGTACAAATCAAGTGAAAGTATTTGGTTCAATGGACATGGTTATGAGATAAAAATGATCTCATTCATCAATGGCTCAAAGAAATAGGGGATCTCTCATATGAATGAATCTATCTTAGGCAAAATGCTAAAGGTAAAAGCACACTTATGCATGCAAGTCAAAGCTCTCTTCTACCATTTTCCCAAAGATGATCCTAATTAAGTGTAACTCCCAAGATATTCCCCTAAATCTACCCTTTCCCAAAGCTCTTTTGATCTATTTCTTTTTGAAATGTGGGGGACTTCTTCTTCTTTTGCTGAATTCTTTTAGAACTTGCTCTTCTTTGTTGTATAGGCACCAATTTTCTTCACCTTTTTTGGTGGATTGCTTGGTCTGATGTTTCTCCTTTTGGATGATCTTTGTAAGCTTGTTGCTGCTGGCGCCTTTTCTTCTTTGTAACTTAGAGCTTTTATCTTTTTTTCACTTAGCCACAAGATACAATCATCTTCTCCACAATGTCATTCTCTTCATAACACCAATTCCACTTCTCTTTGCTTCTTAAAGATACCAACAATCAAAGCTCAAACACTTAACTCTACCCTTTCCCCAAAACTCCCAACCTAGTATCAAGCTCAAATTGCAAGCTGATGTCTACAAGAGAGCTTTTCCTTGCCAGCCTTATTCCTAACATGTTTTGCCAAGTTAAGTTCAAAAATGATAATGCAAGGCCTCACAAACTCTCACAATAGTGTTTGGGTTTAAAAGAAAGGATTGGTTCAAAGTGTGGTTAATTGTCCCTTAATGATGAGGATCAGCTACTTGGATCAACAAGAGAGGTGAAAAGGAAGAAGATGATCCAAATATGTATATTGGTAGCCATGCAATCACTTTCAATGCACAAACAAGATAATTCAAAGATCATATTAAGGTTCCACTTATATAAAGGTCAAGATCAAATCAAGCAAGCTTCAACTTCAAACAAAAGTTTCAAAATCATAAATTCAAAGAGTGGTTCAGCCTTATTTCAAGTACTTCATCAAATGCATCAAATGACTAAGAACAAGGGCATCATTTTCATAAACCACTAGCATTAACAAAGATTCACTATCATTGCACCCATTTTAAACAAGCAAGCTACAGCCTAAGTGAATGCATGAAGTATAAGTCCTATATGAATGCACATGAAAACTCTGTTTTTAAAAAATCAGTTTTCAAAAAATTTCAATTTTTTAGTGATTTTCTATGCCTTAAGTGCAATGCATGGTTGCTAAGCTATACGTGAGTGCAAATGTGATATGGATGCAGAATGTTAGTCCAAGCAGACCCTCCCCCACACTTAGAATACACAGTCCACTGTGTATGATAAATGCAAAAGGAG